TACTGAGCCGTGTCTTATAATTTATCGTACCAAGATAACACCAGTAAAGACTGTTCAGTTTTTTAGTGCACTATTACCAGAATGGCCGACTGAATAGTGTCGAACATGATCACCACACGTTTATTTGTTTGTCTTAGAGCAAAACCACAAAGGGCTATCGACTGTGCACACCGCAGGGATTGAACCCCGCATTTGAACATTGTAAGTCCGTACACCCCTACTTTATTTTTTTGCAACAAAAACAAAACAAAAAGGAAATTAAACATAATTACTCATAATTAAAAGTATGTGCATAGAAAAGAACAGCAAAACCGATAAGTCTACCTAACACAGATAAACACGAACGAAGCTACATTATATCTAGATACTCACACACACGAAAACGTGATTAACGTGTGTTGGAAGAGCGAATAATTAAACAATAAAGGTAAATGGAATAATTATGTTTTCACGATATCTCTAATTGCACATCGCTAAAAAACAACAACAACAACTCAAAATTGCATAATTATAAAATTGTGAAAGTTTTAAGTTTACATCTAATTATGTACTCTAATTAAAAATAATAATAATCTCTTTGTTCAGAAATGTTAGATGTAGTTGGGATTTGGTTAGGATAGCAATTTTCTTTCAGAGATGATTAGTCTTCGCAATCTGCTCATTAAAGAGCAAAATGGTAATAACGACCATAAAAGTTCAACATTTGAAAGATACTGTTGTAAAGTTGGTACTGTAGAGTACAGAGGCTCTTGTGAATGTATGTGTCAAATTAATCGCACGTAACTGATCAATTTCTCAAAGACTAAGGCTACAACTGGCTAGTTAAAGTTCGTAATAATAGTCATAACAGTTATGTTTGATATTTAAAGTGATATTGCTACATATGATTGTTATAAGTACGTAAATCCTTTCCGCGCATAACTCCGGTTTTCTGTGGCACAAGCGGGTGAGAATGGTAGCACAATCCCTCCGGATGAGATACCACGTTAAACCCCCCCCCCCAGTTATCTGCTGGTACCCATTAAACAGTTGAGCGGGATAAGTCGAACCTTCAACCTTTCGACTACGAGTCCAAAGAACTAAACACTAGGCCTCGTCTCTCCCGCTTGTTATAGATATAGATGTAGTTATAATACAGGCATATATATTAATATAGATATTATATGTTTGTTACTTAAACCTCACTGGCTTATTTTTAGCACGATTATTCCAAATAATGTTTGTTTATTGTTAAACATAAAGCTATACAATAGGCTATCTATATTGTGCTCACCACGGGTACTGAAACCCGATTTTTAGTATTATAAGTCTACAGTTTTTACCGCTGAGCTAGTGAGGGGATGGGGAGAAGGGGCATATAACAGAAATATCACCGAATCAATTACATAACTGTACTTTTTTTTTCAGTTCCCCTCTTGATACTACATCTAAAAAATTAGTGGACCGAATGCAGCCTACAGGGTTAACGCCTCGGTCTGCGGGTCGAAAGGTTCAAGATGTGATACCGCATTTTCAGTTTTGAGTGCGTTTTAAAAAGTTACAATCAATCTCATTATTATATAACCCTTGCGGCGGCGAGTGCTGCTGTCTGACTTTTTTCTCATTAGCAGTTCAGGATTAATGATGTCTATACCTGAAACACAGGGTATACTAAGGTAGTCGTTCAGGTTGAAAATACCAATATCAGTTCGAACAATTTAGCACAAAAATTTTAACAATAAGTCATGTTTAAAGTCCTAAGGGAAAAGGTTCTATTGACGTTCATTCCACACAGTATCTCGTTAAAGATTGTTCTTGAATCGAAAAAAAAGTAACACCAGCCAACGAGAAAAGTCAGAAATGAAGGGTGCGCATGTCAAATCATTATTTTACTAACAAGAAACCCTTGAGGAGTTTTACATTCTGCTACGAGCGTTATGAAATCGACCGGAATAATGGTTTGAGGACAAGTTCAAAACAAACTCTTCCAAAGAATGACAGTTGATTTCCTCTAACATTTAGGGCATAAAGATATTCCTAGGTCCCATATACTGATTAATATATAACATAACCTGATGTTACAAAATGATGTATTGTTTGTTTGTTTTGAATTTCGCACAAAGCTACATGAGGGCTATCCGCGCTAGCCGTCCCTAATTTAGCAGTGTAAGACTAGAGGGAAGGCAGCTAGTCATCACCACCCACCGCCAACTCTTGGGCTACTCTTTTACCAACGAATAGTGGGATTGACCGTCACTTTATAACACCCCCACGGCTGAAAGGGCGAGCATGTTTGGTGTGACGGGGAATCGAACCCGCGACCCGCAGATTGCGAGTCGAACGCCCTAACCACCTGGCCATGCCGGGCCTCCAAAATGATGTAATGATACATGTTATCTCGTGTAAAATATACACCGTATCTTTTATTTCACAAAACTATTGTGATGAAAGGTCTGTCAGAATTCGTATCTGCTCAATATCTTGACACCATTAAATTACGTTTTTCTTACAAGAGCGATATGTAATTCAACACTGTTTACGGATGTAGAATCTTAAGAGTATCTGAACAACTTTTTTTGAAGATTTATCTTCTATATTCGATTAAACACTTATTTGTGGCTCTAAAAAGAAGAAGCAAGGTTGAGTTTAGCAGTTTTCTTGAGAATGTACAAGAATTACAAGACTAAAACGTTTTTATTTACTTATTTATTTTTGTAAATAATTGTTTTTTAATTGAATACAAAATTATACAACTTCTTATAACAATAATGGTTAATCAAATTACACAACTGTCACTAAGTTGGTTTAAATATAGTTGTAAAATTCAGTAATTACACTTTTTAGTAATTAATTTACTTTTGAATTATGTTGTAACATTCGTGCACTAAAGTGTATAAAATAGACATTATAGAATAATTTTTTGCGAGTAATATGCGCTAAGCCTAAATATAAGACGAGTGGGTTGGTAGTATTATTCGGTGTTTCTAAGAGCAGAAATATAGCGGGTAATAACGTAGCAGGAATGCTATGTAAGGAAGAACGTTATACTAATTAGGTAAAAAACGATTTGTGAACATAATGAAGTGATTTATTTATGGTGGAACATACTACATTAGTATGTCTTTTCTGAAGAAGACAGGCCCATGTTCTGCCGAAACATATAGTATGCTCCACAACAAATAAATGATTTTATTTTGCTTATAAATCGTTGTTTACCTACTTATTATTAACATGACAACAACCATTCGTAGGGTAATGATACTGTAAAATTATGTTATATACAAATTTATGGATGATTTGAATTATAACAGTTTCATGTCCTTTGATGGCTGCAATTAAACAAGAAAGAAAAATTTATTGTATACAGTTTCATATTATAAAGCTTTCTTCGCTCCTCGGATCAAAATGATGCCCAGTCATTCTGATAGTGCGATAAGATTTTGGCCTAATAATAATAATACGAAAATAAGCTGCAAAGATTTAATAGTATTCTCAATCGTTCAGATTCTAGTAGCAATAAAAAATATTGGTTGAATAGTAAGTAATACGATAATAAGTGGCAGA